TAAACATTTGATTAGCTTATGGTAACTTTATTGTCGTTAGCAGCTGAAGGGATGTTGACCTTATTTTTAAATATATTAATAATCTGGGGAAAAACTATGAAATTCCATCCTTCAATCCTTGTGCTAGAAGCTCTAGTCCTTCCTGCCTCTTTCTGTAACTGACCCACTTGATAGTATTATTAAGATACTATTGTTAATATCTCCAAATTGGTTCCTTTAAGCAACAGCTGCATTAATTTTAGTGTGGATACTGAGTTTGGCAGGCCCATTTCTGTTTGACTCCCTATCCTTCCTATAGTGCTGCTTTATCAGAATTATTTGCTCTACTGAGCTAGTTCTCTGAACATTGTCTGGCTCTGTTTCTCTCTTTATACAATAAGCCCACTTCTTGTAAGAGAAATTGTGCACTCTGTAGTTGTACATGTTTTGTGCATTTCAGGTCCTCTAACCAAACTTTATTCATGAGAATTGGGCCATGAAAACAGTTTTTTCCAATGTCTTTGTACTCTAATATCTTCTCTTTCTCATATTCATGGGCTATATTGGATCAATACTGTTTGAAAACTCAGTAGTTCGGAGACGTAATTACTGGCTATCAGAGCAGCTTGCTGAAAACTCTTTCAAACTCTTTAGATTTTTATTAGTATTGGATTGGAGGTGAAGCAGCATTCTTCTGTTTTGTTGTTGAAGAGTTACGGAAATATAGCAGTGAGAGAATTGCCTCTGCCCTTTTATTTTATTTTCCCATGGTTCTTAAAACCTTTCTGATCAAACTCCATAGGTAACTGCATGGAAGTTGCTATCCCCCGGCCTCTCTCCATGTACATGCAAGTTGCTATCTCGCAGCCTCTCCCCATCGCTATATGCAAGGGAGGATATAATATTCACTGCCTCTGAGAGTTATTACCAGAACTACTGTTGTAAGTCACAAATTCGATAAATTATCAACTAATGCAATATTAACATTGTTTTGCAACTGCCAGTCCTCATGTGTGTGCTAAAAGGGAAGAAGCGTTTGTAACTTTATTACAAAGAGCCTTGCTGTTTTGTGAACTGTCAGTAGAAAGTAGACATTTTTTGAGGTGTTACTCTTGCACAGAAACAAACCATTTTCAAAGGTTTTAAGGTTAGTTTCATGTCTTTTCTCCAGGCTGTATGGCATGAATATGAACATGAATTCGTGAACTTGTGTTGAGCATTCCAACTCATGTTATTAGCAATGGGGCGTAAACCAGTTAAAGGTTTAAAGTCTTCCTGCCTTTTCCTGACCAGTTAAAGTTTTAAACATTTTCTCATCCATTGATTCTGTTTAAGATTCTCATCACTTTAATTATTTAACATATTTGGAGGGAGAGGAAGATTGGTTTTAACAGCAGGTAAAAACAATACAAAAGCACAATCTAGCAGCAATGAGAAGAGGAGAAAATAGTTTGGGTCCAATTGTGAAAGCATAGCCCTATGAGTTTATCTCAAGGTGGATAGGAATGAATACCTGTTTATTTTCCTCTATCTTTTTCCTGGTAAAATTGGAACTACGCTCCTTTTTATCTATTGATATTCTATAGTGTAGGATCTAGACTTAGGTTTCTTCAGGTACGACTGCAGAATCCAGGAGAACAGACAGGCTGTCTTGATGGCAGAATAAGCAAAATTGCAAATATGAGAGAAATCTCTCCCTGATAGATGATTACATCTGAATTGGAATAAGGACACACAATTTACTACCGTCCAAATTTAGCACATAGCAACAGCATTTGTCACTAATTATTTTTTTGGGGGAGGGAGGAGCAAACCTTGCTCTGCATAGGAAAACTGTCTATACAGAAGAATGCTAGTTTTGGGGTGCCTGTTAATAGCCTGAAAGTAACTGATGATTTGGGAAGAGAGATTAAATAGCCACAGTGTATTTCCTCCTTCCTGTCTGCAGAAGGGAAGAGAGAACCAAGCAATTGTTTTGAGTAACTCCCCTTCTGTGAGTAGTCATCCAAGGGCTGGGAGTTGATCTGGGCTGTCTCAGCTGCTTGGCCTCCCACAGGAGAAGAGAGAGAGTTTGGAGTTTGTATTTGGACAAGGCATCCCAGTGCCTGTCTTTCCAGCATCTCAAAAGATGTTGAGACTCTGGAAAGAGTGCAGAGAAGAGCAACAAGAAAAATTAAGGGGCTGGAGGCTAAAACATATGAAGAATGGTTACAGGAATTGGCTGTGTCTAGTCTAATGGAAAGAAGGACCAGGAGAGACATGACACCAGTGTTCCAATATTTGAAGGACTCCTACCAAGGTGAGGAGGTCAAACTATTTTTCAAAGCACCAAAAAGCAAGACAATAAGCAATGGGTGGAAGCTAACGAAGGAGAGAAGCAATCTAGAACTAAGGAGAGATTTCCTAATGTGAGAGCAGTGGAGTAATTTGCCTTCAGAAGTTGTGGCTTCTCCATCACTGGAGGCTTTGAAAAAGAGACTGGACAACCATTTATCAGAAATGGTACAGGCCAGGTCTGCTGCTTTGTACACATTTTCATTTTTTTGAGGCACTACTTAACACCCGGTTATTTGATTAACTGGTCCTGATGTTATTACTGCTTTTCAATATGGTTGTGTATAGAACAAGAAACATGTTTTGTTTTGAATCCAAACAAAAAAGTGTATTTTGGGAGTTTGTCCCCATCCATTTTTAATTGTCTGTGGTTCAGCAGAAATTATAACCTGGAACATTTTGTTGTTCCCAATTTTGGCTAGAACCACATCTGGAGGGATCCTGGAATGATTTTACAGGTGAATGTATAAATTGGGTAGCTGCTGTTTATGCCCTTCTACCTATCCCTGCTTTGCCAAGGACTCTGCTGTGCCCTGCCTTCTCAGTGCCTTGCTGCCTCCCTCTTCTCTGCCCTTCCCTGCCTCCCTCTTCTCTCAGTGCCTTTCACCTCCCTCTTCCACTGCAGCATATCCCACTAGCCCAGCCCCTCAAGTCTTGCCAGGCAGGGCTTTCCTTGCTTCCCATGCCACTTGTGCCACTGATGGCCCTGTGTGGCATATCCCATTGGCATGCCTATCCCTGAGTTTTCAGCAGATTTTCTCCCCTCTCTCCCTCTCCTTCAATCACTGCCTGTCTTGTTAAACTGTTCCTTGCTGTGAAGTTCTCAACAGTAAAAGAACAAGATCTCAGCTGTGCCTGATGTTCCTGAGCTTATCTCAATTTCTAGTCCTGCTTCAAGAAGCTAGGAAATTAGAAAATAAGCCATTAATGCAACACGATCTCAGGAGCTTTTGCTGAGCCTCAGAGGTGATAGCATGATATTGTAGCTTTGCAGCCAGACATTTTCCCCAAGAGCTGTCAGCATGATTATGAGTTGCAGAGAAGAGCCTGTGATGTGGAGGGAGAGGATGGCAGAGGAGTAATGTTACGCCAGAGTCCAAATACTGGAAGGTGGGCTAAAGCAGGAGTGCAGCTCATACTGCGTACCTAAACAGAAAGAATCAAGACAAGCATTTTTACAAGATGAGATTTCCTAACTGATCAAACACTGAATTGATGCATGAGGTGAGGGTCCCTGATGGGATTACCTGTGAAATTTGCTAGAGGTCACAGATGAGGCTGTACGAAACAGAAGAGCCAATGCATTGACACATAACGAAGGTTAAATAGCAACATTGGGCTGTCACACAAGCTCCGTTGTTTTGGTTTTTTGCATATGTTGAGATGTTACACAAAAAGGGCAGAGTGCGATAAATTTCCATCATTCTGATGAAAACTGTAAAAAACTAGAACCACCATTTCTCCCATGAAGGGGGAAATGGCCCACCCTAGACTTTATGGAAGTCTAGCCCTGCTATTTTTGTGATTTGTGTTGAGCATCAGCTTGAAATGGTGAAACCAAACTATGTTCTGTCTCCAACACAGGCATTAAGAATTAGAAATGGATAGGCTTACATTGAAAATGAAAGGGAAAGAAGATACAGGATATTTTCAAACATGGGATAATTTTTATAAATGGCTATAAAAATGGAATAGAGAGTAGAAATGGAAGTTGTATTACTATTAATGTCAAATATGTGAACCCAGACAACACGTTGTTTAATAAACACTAAAGATTTGTAACTATAAAAACTTAATAAAATATTTATATATAAAAAAAGAATTAGAAGTTCTTTCAAAGCAGTGCAGAACTAGATCGTTCAGAGGAACCTTCAAAATCTTTATGCTGGAAGAAATTCTGACTTTTATAAAGTGCATAGCTGAAACCAGATTTGAATTTTTAACCAAAGTTTTAGAGGGCACATATAAATATGTTTCCCTTTTTGAAATTTGGTAATCAAAGTTGATTAAAATAAAAATTGAACAAAAAGAAAAGTTAAAATGAACTAAAGTTCAATAAAAAGTAAAAAGCTTAAAAATGCTTAAAACTAAAGTGAAGTTACTGTACTACTACTTAAATAATAGTTTACTCAGTTCTTCAATAATATTGTAAATTATTATTTTATTATGAAATGCTGGGATATTAAATTCTTGAACTACTGAATGAAGAAGTAACAAGTGTAACCTCTCTTGACATTGCACTGTCTCTGTAATAAAGGTGAGGGAGTGAGTTTAGCATGCTATCCTATCCCCAGTATTGGAAATCTATCTTGACATCAGGAATGGTAGACTTTCTCTATGAAGAATAACCATCAGAATGATTAGATATAAATCTATATTTGATTCCTGTAATCAATTTGCATTATTCTTTATTTTACAAAAGAGCAAAATGAATAGAATAAAATAAAAGGACTTCTAACCAGGTTGTTCAACGTTTTTGGAATTGTTTTAGCAATAATATAATTTCCCAAAATTTCTCTTCCTGTAGTTTTCTATTACATTGTTAACTACACCATACATATATAATTTTATTATTTGATATAATAAATTCATTACATTAAAAAGATTTGCATAGACAATGAGAAGGAAGTTTCTATTTAAGAAAAAACTTATTTCCCCCCTTATTTCTTTTCATCGTTCTGTCTCAGAGGTTCCACCAGAGACATCTCCTAGAAGACGGAGCATCTCTGGAACAAGCAATCCCACAGATACATCAAATACATCACCTTTTCGAGTACCGGTAAGTAGACATTTGCTTTGAATGGGATTCTGTGACAAACTCAGTATATGTCCATTTACCCTAGAGCAGGGGTAGGCACAGCTGGCTCAGGAATTCTGGGAGTTGAAGTCCACGAGTCATAAAAGAGCCAAGGTTGCCTACCCCTGCTCTAGAGGATATAGGCTTTTGTTTTCTTTTTCTTTTTTTTTTTACAAGTTCAGTGTCTGGGCTTGTGGCATCAGAGGCAAAGCATTGTGCTTGATTGGGCAGAGAAACATCTCTCTTCCCCTGAGGCGGGCTTTCATTTACCTCTGGATTCTATTCATCTGTGAAACCAGTGCTCAGAAAGATGAAGCAAGACAGCAGGTTTGCCAAACAGTCTCCAAGCAAGAAGCCCAGATGAACTACCTTAAGCTACCCTCACTGCAGCTACGTTTGGATGGGTAGGATGCAGCTAGACAGATTTTATTTCTAACTTTCTTAAAGTATGATTCAAAGGTATATCAATTCATATGATTGTCTATGATTCTGTATTCTAAAATATTCATTCTTCATAATAATTCTGACGCAGGTGGATACTTTTTTTCCTATTCTGTAGATGGAAATTTATCATTGTATACTTTATGTTCAGTTTGTGAATCAGATGTTCAGTTTAAATTATTTTTTTTATAATTTTAATCCAAATTTCCTGGAAGTTCTTACCTGTCTCTTTTGGGTGGACCAAAGTTCAAACTACCCGTACTTGAATTACTGCAGTTTTTCTAGTATTATGCTGAGAGTGAGTCATATACAGTGTAAATGACTTTTCCAACAGAGGTGCAACAAGTTTTTAAATGACAGTAATGAGCAATAATATTCTGGAATGTTATTTTATGATCTACTTAAGAATCTAAAAAATAAGAAAAAATTGTTGCTGTTCTCATATCTTTCCTTGTTTTAATTAACGGACACATCTCTGTCCTATGTTCTCAATTTTCCTTATCCCAGGTTTCAAATTCTGATAATAGTTTTTTTTATTTAAACTTCATTACAGGCTTCTTTATATACTTTTAAAATTTATGGCTTATTCTTTCCATGGATAATTCTGAGTAAGAATTTCAATTTTTGTTCAGCATAAGGTTGATAAGTAATAGATTATGTAACAAAATGGAGGCATATTATCTTGTACAATCTTTTGCAGTGCTAATTCCAAGAATTGGAATAGCATATATTGAAGAGAGAGGGGAAAAGAGACAGGATTATATATGTCTGACTGAATTCTGTAATAAGACAAGATAACCTTTATTGTCATTTTTTCTCTGTAAACACACTGGCACATATTAAAAAGTGGAATTCTTATGCCCGCTCTCAAAAGAAAACAAGCCGAAATGTTGAAAATCCACTCAAGCTAACAGCACTATCCGGGATGGAATGCTTTAACCAAGTTTCCCTTGCAATGGTGATATGGCAGTTTCTCACCTGCTGCTTTGTTATTAACTCTAGCTTCATATAAACCTTAGACTCTAAGGAGTATATTAGCAAACAAAATAAATGGTTGTTGTTAATTGTGAAGTCGCATCCAACCCATCGCGACCTCCAGGTCTTCCTGTCCTCTACCATTTTCTGGAGTCCATTTAAGTTCACACCTACTGCTTCAGTGACTCCATCCAGCCATCTCATTCTCTGTCGTCCCCTTCTTCTATTGCCCTCAATCTTTCCCAGCATTAGGCCCTTCTCCAGTGAGTCCTTCCTTCTCATTAGGTGGCCAAAGTATTTGAGTTTCAACTTCAGGATCTGGCCTTCTAAAGAGCAGTCGGGTTGATCTCTTCTAGGACTGACCGGTTTGAATGCCTTGCAGTCCAAGGGACTCGCAGGAGTCTTCTCCAGCACCATAGTTCAAAGGCCTCAATTCTTTGGCGCTCAGCCTTTCTTATGGTCCAACTTTCACAGCCATACATTGCAACTGGGAAAACCATGGCCTGGACTATACGCACTTTTGTTGGCAGGGTGATGTCTCTGCTTTTTAGTATGCTGTCTAGATTTGCCATAGCTTTCCTCCCCAGGAGCAAGCATCTTTTAATTTCTTGGCTGCAGTCCCCATCTGAGCCTTTAGCCTAGCTGTTAGCCCTCTACGTTTGCCTTGTTTCCTCTTTCGATCACACCACCTCCACCTCAGATGACAGTCAGTACTGGAGGGAGATTTCTCTGCTTCAATGGCTGCTGCTCTCCACTGCTTCTGCTGTCTGAAACATCAAGCACTTTCAGACACTGCAGCCGATCTCACACCCTCCGCGTTTCAGAGACTGCAGCCTATCTCACATCCTCCATGCAACCCATTGACATTTCAACCATGCTGGTGCCTTCAACCAAGGCAGTCCGAAGCAATGCAGACTCAACAGCTTTATCAATAGTTGTTCTTTTGCTAAATATCACCAAATCCAATATAGACTGATGGTGATGTAACAGTTTGGTAATACATTTCCACTTTCTTGTCACAAAGAATCTCTCCAAAACCCCAACACTCTTGAGAGCCAAAGCAGCTGCAGCCAAGCAAGGAATTATCTAGCATTGTTGACAGAGGACCAGATATACTCTTTGATCTAACCCATTGAGAGTTTACATTCATAAGATGACTTTGAGTAAGTTCACACAATATGTTAAACTCTAAATTTGAGTTAATAAAGTAGACTCTGAATATATCAGCTCCATTTCTGTACCAAACATAATTTTGCAATGTTCTGTTGTTATACAAAAGGAAGATTTGCAGTCACTCTCAGTAGGTGTAAATTCATTACCACCTCCTATTTATGCAGACCTAGAGCTTGAGGTCTTATACAACTGACAGAGTAGGTCCAGGAAACAAACATTCAAACTCTGCTGCCTTACTCTTTTTAAGGAACCTTCACTAAACCTTCGGTTTAGACATAATAGGAAACTTTGCTGCTGCTTGGTTTTCTGGTTAATGGAAGGAATCAGTGGGGGATAGATGAAGACCATACCTAACAATAAACCTGAATTCTAGATGTCTTCAAATGCAGCTGCTTTCCAACAAATGTTCATTGCGGTGAACTGAAAGGGTAAAATGGCACGAATTGTGAGGTCAGGTGGCTCAGTCCCCTGATGGAACAGAATAAAAAAAAATGATAGGTTGGAGTACAATCAATTATTGATTGCCCTCAGTTTCCGGGTTAAGTGTGATATTATCTTTAGAAACAAATTAGCAGTCTTAAAAGGCTCTAGAAATACATTACTTGCAGGACATGTGATACGTCATTGTTCTTCAATTTCTTTTTTTTTTTCTTTCTTCCAGTTGTTAATATGCACAGCCTGGCTATTTTAAAAATTCACTTCTGAATAGAACATTCAATTCCAGTAGAGACTTCATTGCCATTCTCCTGAACAATGGCATCCATACAGGAAAAAAGAATTACTCAACTGCACAACTTAATGGGCCTTTGTCCAGTGCTAGGAATTTTGATTTACAGTTGCATAATATTCTAAAATGAATGCTTTCTTCTTGATTTGGAAGAAGCTCTTCAAATAACTCTTTGCTGTGGAATGCTTAGGATCTATTCACATTTAAGAGACTATCAGATGAAATTAAGTTTTTCTTTTCCTCTTAAATATCTGATATTACTGTTTCTTTTAAAATACCCACTTCTTGCATAACAGTATGTTCAGATCAGTTTGTATTTAGCAGCATCACCTTAATGCAGTCCATGGGCTGCCACTGAGTGATGTGAGGCACAGGCTCTGCAGGCAGAATTTCTTGACCCAAACTCTGGTATTTCCTGATTAACCTAGAAAATACTGTTTCCCTTCACTCTAGTGTTGTTGTTATTTTATATTTATTATAGCTGCCTCCTCCCATAAATTCTAGGTGGCTTACAAATACAAAAAAGTTTAAAAAGTTAAAAGCTTTCCATCCCATAGATAGCCCACATCAAAACAATGCAACCATAACAAATCAAGCTAAACACGGGTCCCGCAACCACATCAACCCCAGGCCTAAGACCAAAGCCAGTTCTTCAGTGCTTTTTAGGAGATGAATGCTGTTCCAGAGGGCAGGGGTCATGACAGAGAAAGCACATTTCTTTGGTCCCAGAAGATGCAAGATTTAATAGAAGGGATCTGGGACATAACCAGTCTACTGGAATGGACCGTGTGGGCAGAAACAGTACTGAGCTAGATGGATGAATGCATAACTTCCTTTAATAAAATAAAACACTATTTTGACGTTACACCCCTTTCAGCAAGGTTCAATTTTAGATGTTTGTAGTTGCCAGCAAGTTTCTGGAATATATCAATGTAGCATATAGCTATGTCTGGGCTGTCATTATTGGATGCAATGTTACAAAGCCCAACAATTTTGGAAAACGAGACAAATTCTAAAAGGTTGATTCTAACAGGTCACCTTTCTATGAAATATTATTAAATGTTATATTTCTACAAAGCATAATGAACTAGCTTTGCATGTCCAAACAACTGTTAGGATACTCTATACTTTGCACTGGAAAATGCATATAATTGCTTCAGTAGAAGAATGGCAAATTGTAGGAGCATGCCTTGATATTTTAAATAACTTTATATTGAAAAATAAATCTTAGAGTATGAATGTCATCTAAAATTTGATTTTCTCTTAAATCTATTTTTAAAGATATATTCTTATTAACAAGATTATAATTTTACAGATTATACTTCATGGTGCGTTGATTGCTGTTGTTGATAATCATACATTAATTTTTTAAAAAAATTATTGAGATTTTACTCAGTACATTAACATAATCATAGATTAACTTGATTACGGTCCCAATCTGTATTTTCAAAATAAGGTGTTATATGTATAGAAGTAAACTAATAGTATTCTGGGGATTTGTGCTCAATTTACCTAAACTTGTGATACTTTTAAATTTCTGGTCTCTTCACTTTGTAATTTTTTCCTCTCTTCTTTTGGCTTTTCTGGTTTTTGTTTTCTTTTGCTTTCTTTTAAAATGTTAATTTTTTTTGTAAAAAGCATACCAAGTGACATAAACATAATGAAT